TTTTTTTTTTCAGTGAGGTGAGCTCTACGCGTCCTGTGAAGCGCCACAACTGACGCTGGGCGGGAAAATGTGACAAATTAGCAGCTACGAGTTGTAATAACATAACTTATGGCAGGTTGCTTGTCAACCCAGCCTGTGCTAACCCTTTTCCGGTCGTCTTGCGGTTTTTCATTTGGACATGGCGCGACACGTTCCTTTAGTTTTCGCCTTAGCCAGCAGGCGTTTTTTCCGCCTGTGGCGCGTGAAAAATTACACAACCATTGCCACATGTCCAACTTATGCCCGCCGACGCGTGCGGCTATCGTGTCAAAGTTCGTGCGTTTTACGCAGCGCGCGCATGACCTTACTAGGCGCTGCTTAGTTGCGCTCGCTTGCGGCGCTTAAGGCCATGATTAACTGACTGCAAAAGGCATAGCAGAGACGAGCTTCCATATTGGATGTAATGCGCTCACGTACAGGCCAGTGGTCTGCGCCGAAATCCCGTGTCGTCTGCCTTCCCTTCCCACGCAATTGCCTTGGATCTTCCTCGCTGGCGTGTATGCAACGCAACGGGCGGTGGCGACACCATAAAAACGTATGAGCCTCCTCCCAATCGCACATTCATATCGACGTATGTACATCCACCTCCGTCTATCCACGCAAATTCGCGAAGATCAAAAGCCATGCTGGCAAATTGCCGCCAACACCGTCGCCATTGCACTGGCATCGGCGGGCGCACCGCAGCAGTCAACTTTTGCTCTTGGCGTACATCAATAAATAAATTTTCGTCTGATCATTGCGGCAACAACGGCGGTAATCTCGCGCCTGTGCCAGTTGTTGCTATTTTATACACATTTTATTGCGCTATTTAATCCGAAATAGCGAATAGTGAGTTGGAAAAAAAGCAACAGCCACAGCGCCGATCAATCGGCGATCAACAAGCGAGCGCGCGCACTAGCTGCTCGTATGCAAATCTGCACACCAACTAGCAGTCTATAGCCGGACTAACCGGATCCCAGCAATAGTTCGCATCATAGTCGCCGCGCGGCACAGCTTCGCAACGCTGCGAAAGCATAGTTTATTGCCGCATTGGCGGCATACTTCAAAGCTGGCGCGAAAAGCAGGCGGAATTAGCCAAAAGACTGATTGGAAAACAAGTAGAAAACGTGGCGCATGCTGGTGGGGGTCTTGCTGTGATGGTGGTGGGTCCGATGGGGCGCGCATGTAGTGCGGCGCAGGCGTTGGTTGCTCATTTCGTGGAGTGGACAAGCCGCCACTGCTCGTGCTGCTGCTGGCGTGCAGACAAATATGAATCGTTATGATCATCGCCACTGCCAATCGCCACTGTCACTTTTGCGGCGGCCCATTGGCGCAAGCGAAGGACGACAGGCAGGCAGGCAGGCAGTCAAGCAGCGAAGCGTTGCTGGTTTATCTGTGTTTGGTTTTGCGCGCTTTTCGTGCCGCATCGCCGCTTCATTGAGGATGCTGTGTGCGGCATGCGATTATTTTGGATTTTTTATTAACGCTTCATTTCGATAATCAATATAGAGCTAATTCATTGGCGAGTGGATTCCGCAAGAGGAGCTAGTGAAGAAAGTGCGCGGATAATTAATGAATAAGTAATACTTTTGCTGGAAAATCAATGAGGATGTGGATAATTTTGATATCGCACAAGTTGCAAGATACGAGTACATTTGAGTGAGGAGGGTCGACTTAAAAAAAAGAACGGTAGCACGCGGATAAAGAGACTTATGGTGCTGGTCCGACGCAATGAGTGTTTGGAAGCTGCTCATTTGCTTTCAAAAGTCGAGGCTCAAGTAAAATAAAGTTAAATACGTACCTCTTTCTATAAGTAAAAAGAGTACGTTAATTTTACATAAAACTTCTAATTTCGAATATTCGAACTTGTCTGCAATAAACTCTAGGCACATTTGTGTCGTCCCAGGGAACACTTTTAGACAAAGTACCTTAAAAACCGCGGTTTTAAAAGATGTTCGAAAATTCGAACATAAGCAATAAAGCACGTCAATCGATGTTTTAGAATACGTACAGGATAACGCCGCAAAATAACGTAACAAGGGTTCTTTCAAAACATGTTCGAAAATTCGAACATAGGCAAGAAAGCATTTCAAACGATATTTTAGACAACTTTGATAGGCGCTCAAGTATTCAGAGTTTGCAATAGAAATGAAAGGGCGAATTTTATGTGGCTACAGTTTCAAACGATTTTTTAAATTATATTTAAATGAAGGTAAATACATACATAATATGTATGTAACCAAGCGAGGAAATTTAAAGGTTTCTCCCCTTAAATTCACTACAAATACAATGGCTTTCTTGTAAAAAATTAAATAAACGTCAAATTTACAAAACCGAATCTATGTTCGAAAATTCGAACTTCAGCTTGATAGTCTTAAAATACATTTTCGTAACTTCTAAGCACTCCATTATGCAAAATAACTTGAAAAAAGAAAATTTTAAACATGTTCGAAAATTCGAACATAAGCAATTTTTTTCATTTATGGACTGTGCCACAATTATAGAATATTGGCGAGTAGTTCTAGCTACCGAACTTTATATAACGATTACTTTAGTACATACTGATTTTTGAGGTCACTTATCAGTTCAGACTTATCAGTTCAAAATCTCTGTCTACAACCACCGATTACCGAATCCCCCCCCGCAGCATGAGGCGCTTGCCGTAAAAAAAGAAACACAGTCAGTAACATGCAACACCGCACGCAGTCAATCCAATTCCATGGACTGCCTCAGCGCGCCAGCATCAGCATAAATATCGATTTGTAATGACAGTTATCATCGAATAAATGGCTGCCGCTGCCACTAAACGCACTAAAGCTGTATGTATGCATGCGGCGTGTGGGGCAAAAAGCCAGTGGCGGTTTAATAGACAAGCGGATTTTTTTCAATATTTTTTTTTTGCTCGTTTTCAATTTTCTTTTTTTTTTTGCCTTTTTGCCACACAATTGCTACTTTTGTTTGCTGTTGCTGTACACATTTTTTAAACGCTTAGCAATAAATAAACTTCACTTACAACAAAAGCTACAACAGCTAACATAAGCAACGCGTTGTTAGCGCGAAAACGTTTGAAGTTTGCCGACAAACATGGCGCCGTTCAGAGGCGGCGATTGATGAGCGAACTGCTGTTTGTTGCGAAATGGCGGATGAATAGATAGAAAATAATGTGTGAAAAATCTTAAAAAAATTTAAAATAAAAAAAATGCTTTAATTTAAAAAAATATATCTTCAATCACTTGCTAGTATTTTTTTACTCAAAATTAAAATAAATATGTATGTGTTAATGTATGAAATTTAATTAATAATGCAGTGATGTTTAAATGAGCCGATAAAAATTTCTCTCAATCTGAAATTCACGCGTTTACAAAACAAAAAATATTTGGAATATATTTTAATTTTGCTGCAACCGATTTTTTTTTGAAATATCATAAAAAAAGTTAAGAATTGAAAAATCTCACTATGACGTTTTTAAAACAAATTTTCTAAAATTTTTTGAACTTTATTAAATTTTAAAACTTTACCTAAGTTTGAAATTTTTGTACTTTTGCGCTGGCTTTTAAGCAGCTTCTTTACTTATTCATTATTTCACTTATTTACTTAAACTTTTGACTTTTTTATTATTTTAGATTTTAAGTCTTTCTTTCCGCAAATTTTACATTCTTTCATTTTTGCTTGTAACTCTTCTTTTCAAATTGCAGAAAATTTCAAATTGAGAAATATCTTTATTTTTTACCAAACTTGCTTTTTTTGTTGTAAGGCGGCCATTTTCTGTTTTCAACATCGAAAATAACTCGACTTTTTAACGCTCTTTTTTTCTGATTTTTTTTTTTGTCATGAAATTTTCGGTAAACAGAGAAGACGTACAGTACTTACAAATCCATGTTTATCACTAATATTGTTGGTCAATTTTAATTTGTGAAATGAGACGACCTTCTGCATCCACTGTTCGCCGGTTGTTGGCGAATCGGGGTGGATGTACATGCGTTTTGGCATTTCTGGATCCGCTTTGCCGGCGATCATCCAACGGCTGAAAGAGAGAAGGTGATGGATGCAATAATTTCATTTTTTGTAGAAGTTTTTGATGTAATGAAAAAAATGTGAAAAAAGAGCTATTGGAAAATTTTTATTAGATAAGGTACGAGAACAATTGATTAAGACAGATTTTTGCTAAGGAAACTTGGAAATAAATTTAAAAAAATTATATACACATTTTTTAAATTAAATTCAGAACTGATTGTGTTAAGCTATTATAAAAATTTTTAAATAATGAAGTTAAATATTCGATATATATATTTAAAAATTAAGATTTTTGTGTTAGCATAATTCAGGTTTTTTATTCAAACCTTTAAGAACATTTGATATATGTAAAGATTTATGCCGAAATTAAGTCAAGAAAAAAATATTTCAGAAAAAAAAAGTTTTAGCGGTCAATTTCTGAATACTTGATTTTTTAAAATAATCCAAATTTTCTGATAAATGTTAAATTAAACAATTTTTTTTCACAAAATTCAGATGTGTTTAACTAAACTATTTTAAAAAGTTTATATCGAAAAAAAAATCTCTATTATTTTTGTTTCTTTTCTTGCAAAAATAATCACTGCATATAATTTTATTTTATACAAAAGTTTTCACTACAGAAAAAGGTATTTAAAAAGGGGTAAAAAGTAACACTCACCTATTATGAAACTTGTAACGGTAATCGTCCGCAGCGACTATGTCCAAGAGCAAAATATATTTCGCCTTGGCGTCCAGGCCCGATACGCGAAATTTCATTTGAGGAAACATTTGCCTGAAAAGAAAGAAAAAAGGAAAATTTGTTAAAAATTTTAAATCAGAACATATTATGTATTTTTGTACAATTTTTAAGAAATTTCGTAACCACAAAAAATTGTTGGAACTATAGTCAAAAGAAATATTTAAATAATCTTTAAAAAAAATGTTCCTACAGCAAAAGCAATAAACAATCATTTTCCCTACCAATCTGCATTTCTCCAACATAACTCGACCACCAAATGCTCATTCAATTTACTTTTTAATATTTTTTATTCCATTTTCGAAAATTTTTCTTACCGCTCATCAAATGGCGCCTGCTTGTGGCGCCACCGCACACCAGTCAAATTTACAAATTTTCGCCAAAGACGCCAACGACGTTTATTTCTTGCTTGCAGCAAACTAAATTGAAATTTGTCGTGGTCGAGGCCGAAGCTGCAACCGCAGTAAAAGCGACAGCAACAAAAGAGATGAAGAAAAAGTTGCAAACTCGAAAATTGCCACCACATACTAAAAAGGCAGCAACCGCCAGCAACAACAATCACTTTATAGACTTTGCTGCTGCCCCAACAGCCAGAGTCATGCCACACAAGGCATGCAAGTAGAATATGAAGCATTGGAAAGCCAGCCAAATGCTCCAACGCCAGCGGTCATTATGTGGGCTGATCGCGCTAATGTTGCAGCTTTGTGGCTGATGTACATATGTATGTATATGCTACATGTACATTTGTAGCTGTGTGACCACTGCAGGCACTCTACGTCCGAAAAACCAACAAACCATTAAATCCAACAGCAAACATTTTTATTTAGGCTGCATGTTGCAAGTTCATCATAAAGTGCCACACAGCAGTATGCACACTCACTTACGTTCCAAAAGGTATTCTGGAAGGAAGGTGTGTATGTATGTGTGTGTGTACCGTACGTTCGCTGGTGTGCTGTGCGGACTAGCGCTTGCTCTCGCCCATTTACAACAAATATGAAAATTATAACTTTAGGCAGCAATCACTCAATCTGTGCAGTAAGCAGCAGCCCCAGCAGCAATGGCAACAACAATGAGTGTAGTTAATAACCATCAAAGGGAAATTACACGCAGAAAAAAATGAATGTGAGATTTGGATCAAAAAATGTGAAAGGAAAAATTCAAAAATAAAAAATTAATATATGAAAAGTAAAAAAAATTTCGAAATAAATTTAGTAGGAAAATGTATATGGGATCGCTTCGAAGATTTGTTTTAAGATGTTTTTTTTTTATTTTAAAACTTATAACATTGAATTCAATTTTTTATTGTTTAAAATATTTATTTTAATTTTTTGGCTCCAACTCGACAGGTTGAAATTAAATCAAAAATTTTCAATACTGAAATATGTAAACAAAAGTCAAATATCGGCGTAATTATTTATTTCTTAATTAATGTTCCCAGTCTATAAAAATACGGTTTGTCAATAAAACTTTCCAAACTCAATTTTTATGGTCCCTAAATATTTTAAATTTCTAGGAAATTTCATACAATAAAATGCCTCAGTTTTTTCATGGTTTCTAAAATTTTGAGAAACATATCTTAAGATAGATACTTATATAGCTAAAAAAATTAAGAAAAAATCAAATGGACAATACACCACCGTTTTTTTTTTCAAGGAATATCAGTACAAAAAAAATGCAAAAGTTTGTGATAAAAGAAACATAGGAGCTAAATTTTTCTTTTTTTATTCTTTCGAGACCTAACTACGCATTTTGCCTTATTAATAAAATTCAAAAAATTTTAGTATGTGATTTTTTTCTAATATTTCTTTAAAAAATAAACAAACATGTAAGCTCACTTAAAATTTTTAGAAGCAGGTCTTATAAAATATGTATGTATGTAATTTGAAAAACTAAAAAAACTAATTGTAATATTGGGAAGTTAAAAATTAAAAATATTATGGATCGAAACATATGCATGTAGGTACATATACACACAAATATTTGTTTTTCATTTTCTAAATTAATATTTGTATTGGTAAAACCAAACACGTATTAAAAAAATAATTAAAAAATATTATCTAAAATATTTTGAGAATAAAAAAATTTTACAAAAATATTTTTTTATTAAAATTCTATATATTTTTTTATATATGCTTTTTTAAAATTAGTTTTTTTTCAAATAAATTATTTTTATGCTACCACAATTCGAAGCACCTGTCTGTTTTTTTTTTTTTTTTAAGATATTTGCTGCGCTGTTTTTGCCATAAAAGAGTCTGCTTTCACTAATTATTTGCCACTCACCACATGTGTTATTAATCACATACTTTAACCCTCGCAGAGCTTTTAGGCTATCGATATTTAAATACCGCTTTCAAAAAATTCTTTGCTAGAATGCAAACAAAAAACTTAAAATTGCATTTAATAAAAAAAAAAACTGAAAAACTGTACGCCAAACAGCATAATTCAAGTTATTGAAAGCTGAAATTTATGTGGGCTGACATTATTTGTTTTTCAGCACAGGCAGCAGGAGCAACAAATCAAATGCAGCCACGACCAAAAAAAAAATAATAAAAATGGAAAACAGCAACAACAATAAAGCTTTCGTAGCAGCAGTCGCCGAGCAGCATCATTCATTGCCCAACAACTCATTCATAATCATCAACCTCATCACCCTCAGCAGCAAACGGCCAGCAAATAAGCAAGAACTGCCACCACCAACCAACAACAACAAAAACAATAATCACATGCAAGCGCATAAATCTGCGTCCCATCGATCGTCAACTGCACTCAGAAAAAGGTTTAGTTATAATAACCAAGATTTGGTTATAGTGACCAAGTGGCATAGTTGGATATGGCGAAATAAATATCTAGTTCACGAAAGTCTGCAATTTACTTGAGCCTTCTAGTTGGGACAAATGTATATTTGTTAATAATTACAAAACGACTACCTTGAGTGGACAATATTGTTAGTTGAATAAAATCATTGTTGAGCAAATATAAACCATGCTTTGGTTGATACAAGTTTTCAATTAATTTTATGAACTTGCCGTAGACGTGAATCAGCTAACCGTTTATTATTGGAAAAAAGTTTCAGTTTGACACAAATAAAAATTTACTCGATGGTTGTTGTGTTTACTTCTTTTATTTGCATATATTAAGCATAAAAAATACAAACATATTTACATAAATAGTTACTAGTGTAAATAATACATATGTATATGGTGGTAAGAATTTCCTACAAAGAAACGATTAAACAGGAATAGTCGTGCGAAAACCCAGGTCAATATCTGCTGGAAGTGCTGGTTTAAGTATACTGCTTTGCTTTTTCCTTGGCTAAATAGATACTTTCTAATTATAATTCACATGAATTATATATCCACTGAGAAACGCCGGTTGGCATCAAACTTTATATTTTTAAATAACCATACCCGCACCGAAACAACTCGCGGCGATGGCAAAACTGAAACTGAGACAAACAAGCCTGGGCATGTCATAGCACACACTTTTCTTTCTCTACCCAGCGCAGTGATCGACATGCCATAGCTTACTGAGCGCTCAGTAACCACACGCGTGTTTCACCCGTATACGAACAGCGGTAGCGGAGCAATGATTTCCACGCACACAGTCTCATTCATTGAATCGTTTTTATGCAATGGTCGGCATACTAGCGCATTCAAACGATTCAATAAGTGGGACTGTGTGCATTGCTTAGCTGGCGCTCTTCGTATGTGAAACACACATGAGCTCAGAGAGCGCTGATCATTATTTAGGGGGTGCTCATAAGCATGAATATATTCCGCTCTCAAACCAAATCGATCAACTAAGATTTGGTAACTATGACTAATCCATGTGTTGAAAGAAAGCTTATCTGTATTAGCAGAGCTTAATGGCATCCTTTTATGAACCATACTTTAAGTTGAATGGAATTTGTAGAAATATGCTTCAAAAAAATATTTATTAGTATTTACCAAACCCTTCAACTAAATTAACGATTTGGTACAACCTAGATGAATATTAGAAGCTTTAATATATTTAGTTATAATTACCAACCCATGGTAATAGTTCCAAATCCTTGGTCACAATTCCCAAATATTGTCAAAATTCGGGAACTAAATATCTTTAGTTGTCGAAACTAATCCTTTTTCTCAGTGTGGGCGGGCCGCTTGCGACGCGCTGTAGCGCCAGTTAACCAGGCACTCGGCCAACCTAGTTACCGTTCATAATGATGCTGATGATGAGGGCCATCATCGTCGCCATCCTCATCCACGTGGTGTTTGTTGGCGTTGTTAATGTTGTTGTGCCTCTTGTTGTTTTTGTTGCTCTTGTTGCCGTTGTCATCATTTGTGCTGCACGCGCAGTTAGTTCGTTAAATTTGATTCATGAGTCTGGCGCTCGATCGCCACAAAAGCGTTGATGTCTGTTGGCTTCTTTGTCCATTCCCGTTGATGCTGCTGTGGGTCCATTTCTATGTCTGTCCAATAGTCTGTCTGCCTGTTGCACTGAGTGACTGGCTGTTCGTCGTACTGTATCGTTGAGCGAGCTAACTGGCTACAGTTCGTGCTAGTTTTGGCCCTTTTTTTTGTGCCGTGGGCGATTTTCGACTTTGGTCTGCATCTTCATTTCGAACGGTGGACGCACTGTTCTTCTGCTTTTACACAGCGAGAAAATTGCGGTTGTTCTAAGTTTTGAAAGTAAAATTGACCAATTGGTAACTCGAACATTCTTCGACTTTGGTTGGTTTAAGTGGCAAAGATCGACATGCGATCAGTTCAATGTTCTGCAATCGTAGCACGTTAACTTTATCACATTCCCTCTGGGTTACGATCTTTCTGGAATGTTTAGCGATCTTGAATTTATCAACTATTATCAAACTTCCACAGGCATTTTAGTATTTCGAGGAGCTTAAACCGCCTTTTTCGGGTATCTAAAGCTTATTAGGTTTTAAATATCAAGGCGCGCTTGCCTTATGGGTGTTCCAATCCAAACTAATTAGCTACATGCGCACTTTTAAATTTCATTTTGATATACGATCTTTTTGAATCACTTAAACATCTAGC